CCCCAAAACCCCAAAACCCCAAAACCCCAAAACCCCTTTAAAATTTCATTTATTTAATTATTTCATCCTTAAAGTTGATATTGGCCTAACTCTGGAGAATGTCAGAATTATTGCCTAAAAACTAGATCTTGTCTGCACTAAGTGAAGAGATTTATGAGAATATGCATAGTACAGTGCGCAAATCGGTTTAGAATCTTTAAGATTTCATAATAGCGCTCATTTGTTTTTAATTGTATGTGGTCTTAATTCGATATTTCATCAAAGCCACATCTATTGAACTCCATAAAAATGTGGGAAATAGTTGAAATCTAAGTAATGGTTAAAATTTTCATCAGAAACTGGGCTTCTTATAATGATCAAGATCAGGCCAGAATTTATTAACACAACTATAGATTAATTTCAACAAACTTGGGAATAATAAAGATCCTTCTAACTATGTGATGATTATAACAAGGCATACGTTTTGTAATAAAACTTGCTTGAATTTCAATGCTTGGGACTGGTAATTCCTAGCCAAAGTAATAGCAAAGCAACTCCGCTTTGTTTTTGGGTTGATAAACCTTACATATTTCAATTACTCAAAAGAGAGCTCAGCACTACTCTAAGATTCAGTCACAATCTAAGATTTTATATTCGGTGGTCTGTTCCTTAACCTCTTCATCTAGACCAGGAAGGTCTAGTTCCTCTACATCCTCTCCTCCAGGGATTATTTCCAAGCTAGTGTAGGGCCTGGAGGATAAGAGTTCTTTGGCTCTCTTGCTGCCATATTGTTTAATATTATCCAAGAAATCGTCCTCGTAGATGTTGTAGTTCTTCAGGAAATAGTTATACATGTTTAGTTTCAACAGGAAGTTACTGGCAAGCTCGTCTAGCTTCTCTAAGGAATTCAAAATATCATTCCAGGTGTCAATATCATTAAGGTCCAGAAGATTGTATTCTATGGTAGCGAATGAGGCAATCATCGCGGAATAATCTAATATAGTCTGGTATGCAATGATTGTCTGCTGCATTGAGAACATAAAACATGTCATAAATGCCTCATTATCAAGTAAGTCGTCACATTCGACCACGCTTTCTATCATTCCAACAATCTTGTGACCATGAAAGAAGATTTCATTGGAATACTTGATAGCTAGGCTGAGTCTTCTTACTTTCTGAAAAGTTGTATCTTCTGACTCGCTAGAAAGCAGAAGTTTCAAGTGATTATCGAGAATTCTGGATGTTCACGAAGCCACTCTCTTCTTGATGTCGTACTTGTACTCACTCATATCCTTAATTAACGTTGGGATCGGGATATTGCCATATAAAGGCTGCAAGACGTCCAGATCATCCGAAAAATTCTCAGTGATTCTTATAATGAGGGTAAGAATTTTGAAGATATAGTTTCAGTTGCCAGAAAAGTCTTGCAATTTCTTTAGAATCATATTCATCATTGTTTCATCATTATTTACTTCCTGGATAATTTCATAGATCTATATCAGAAATGCATTAAAAAAGGGTTTTGTACAACAGAAGCTAATTTTTCAACCAACTGCTTTTAACAAAGTTACCAGTAGAATCTTACTCTTTCATAATGTTTTTTCTCCTCAAGGATATCATCACCATCATAGATTAAGGTGTTCAGCAATTTCTGATTGACACTGAGGGATAAGGTACTAACAAATTTAACTCCTTTCTTGAACAACTCCATTTTGGGTATTTTTGTTATAATTTAACTATTTTAGCTGGGAATTTAGTCATTTTGGGGTTTTGGGGTTTTGGGGTTTTGGGGTTTTGGGGTTTTGGGG